ACACCCTGCGACTTTGCAAGTTCTCCCACATAGAAATCATGGAGGGGTCTGAAATTTTCATCTAATGTGCATGTCCACTGTGAGAGACATAATCTAAAAAATAAATAAAAAATCGAAAATCACAATGTATAATTTTTTAAAATAATTAATTTGTGTGTTACTGTTGCGATTAAGTATTTGAACACCTGTCACAATTATTGTTATTATTCGGTACAGTTGCCTTTTTTTGCAATTATAGAGGTCAAACGTTTCCTGTAGTTTTTAACCAGGTTTGCACACACTGCAGCAGGGATTTTGGTCCATTCCTCCACACATCCTTTCTAGATCAGCCAGGTTTCTGGGCTGTCGCTGAGAAACACATAGTTATTTTCATTAAATTTTTATTTAAACGTATAAATCACATCGAGCCTCAAAAACTCATTTACAAGTGAGACCTGTTTGGACAGACAAAAAAGTGGTAAACTGGACACATGTAGGAGTTGGAGGCGAAAAAATTCCTATCAGACTTTTTTTTCCTGCCTGAGGAAAAAAAACTCTAATATTAAACAATTAGGATCACACCATCTTAGAGCTATTCCAATCTGGCTTTAAACCTCCCACAGCACTGAAACTGCCATATTGAAGGTTTTTAATGACATTTTCAGATCCACAGATACTGGTGATTCTGTGCTGCTTGCCCTATTGGACTTCACAGCCGCCTTTGACACCATCGACCATGAGATCCTCATTGCTAGATTGGAGCAGTGGGTGGGCATCACATGGTCAGGCCTCAATTGGTTCAGATCCTACCTCACTGACAGATCCTTTTGTGGCTCCATCAAGGATTTTAGTTCTGCAGCGACAGAGCTTAAATGGGGGGTTCTGCAGGGGTCCATCCTGGGTCCCCTCCTATTCTCTTTATACCTGCTGCCACTTGGTGCTATTTTCTGGAAACACAACATGCCCTTTCACTTCTACACCGACGACTGTCAAATTTACTTCCCCCTAAGACACAACGGCACATGCTCTATTCAACCTCTGCTCGACTGCCTGGCTGACATCAGGGACTGGATGGCTTTAAATTTCTTAAGTTTCAATGAAAAGAAGTCTGAAGTCATGTAGTTCCCTCCCAATGACACAATCACAAACCACTGCATCGACCTCTCCACTCTATCCCTGTCAGAAAAACAAAGGGAGTGATAATGGACCCTTCCCTGAAACTTAACAGTCATGTATCCTGATGCATGCTCAATAATCCAGGTAGAAAAATCTAAAAAAGTTAAATCTGGTCCTCTGGACATACAAAAAAACAGTCAACTGCCTGCAGTCAACCTACTTCACATATGGGGAGCAATATTATAGGCAGAAACATGGGTGTGCTATGCGGTCTCCAGTTTCTCCTATTGTTGCCAACCTGTACATGGAGGAGGTA